GAGAGAGAGAGAGAGAGAGCTTTATCTCAAGAAAATGGCTCATGCAGTTGTGGAGGCTGGCAAGTCCCAAGCCCATGGGTCAGGCAGCAGGCTAGAGGCTTCTCACATAACTACAGGAGCTGACGAATCCAAAATCAGCAGGTCAGATGGCAGGACGCCGGCTCATAGGTTTCGGAGGCCAACGAATCCAAGATCAGGAGCAGGCCGCTGGCTCACAGCCTGCAGAGGCTGACAAATCCCAAGATTAGCAGGCAGTACAGTAGGCAGTTGGCTCAAGTCCCAAGAACTGGAAGTCAGATGATGACAAGCTGGATGCAGGATCCAGAGCAAGCAAAAGCCACAGAACTTTGCCAGAACGTCCATGTATATTGGATGCAGGTCACACCCCCAACAAAACTCCTCTTACGACTGATTGGCTGATCACATCAGATCACATCATGGAGATGATTACATCATATCACAAAATGGAAGATAACTATATCATTACATAACTGCCAAATTACATAACTGCCAAACCACATCATTACATAATTGCCAAACTACACCATTACATAACTGCCCAACCACTAAGAATCATGGCCCAACCAAGTTGACACAACCTTAACCATCACAACACAGGTATAGTATAAGCTCAGGGTTTAAAATCCATTTACTCCCAAATTGTGCACACACGCACACACAAACACACACATATTTAAAATTTTTAGAAAGAAAATGTGGTTGTTGTGTGATCGTTAAGGTTGCGTGTCAACTTGTCTGGGCCATGATTCTCAGTAATTTGGCAGTTATGATGTAGTTTGGGAGTCATGTAATGACATAATCACCTCCATGATGAGATCTGATAAAATGTGATCACCTCCATGATAGGATCTGCTGTGGGTAGCCGATCAGTTGAAAGGGAGTTTCCTTGGGGGTGTGGCCCACATCCAGTATATGTGGACTTTCTGGCAAAATTCACTGGCTTTTGGTCTGCTCTTGATCCTCTATTCGGCTTGTCAGCATCTGACCTCCAGTTCTTGGGACTTGGGCCAGTAGCCTACCATCTTACCTGCCAATCTTGGATTTGTCAGCCTTTTCAGCTATAAGTCAGCAGCCTGCCATCTGATATGTGGATCCTGGGTTCGTAGCCCCTGATGTTCAGCCCTGTGAGTCAGGAGAAGCCTCTGGCCTGATACCTGATGCCTGACCCACGGACTTGGGACTTGCCGGCCTCTACAACCATGTGAGCCATTTCCTTGAGATAAATCTCGCTCTCTCCCTCCCTCTCTCTATATGACATATATATATACACACTTCACTGGCTTTGCTTCTCTGGAGAACCTAGCCTAAGAAAGTGCCTTTGAGTTGATTGTTGACTCATAGTGACCTCACGTCCTTGGCTGTAATCTTTATGGAAGCAAACTGCCAGGTCTTTCTCCCATGGAGCTTCTGGGTGGGTTCTCCTAATAAATTCATCTCTGTACTCCACTTCCAACTGTAACTCCATTTGATATCTCTGTCCAGTAACATTTTTCTCTCTCATAGCTCACACGCATCACCTTTTGATTCCTGTCTACTAAACTAGTGCAGTGAATCACCTTAGAAATTACAACTCTTGACCACCTTAGTCTACCATTTTGACAACTACACAATGCAGATGCTTGAGAGAACACACTCTTCTGAGTAGGGAAGAACTGCAAAAGGCTATTGCTACGACAGCTGCTTTCAGCTAACTGATGGTCAGCCCTAGTTATGTGACGCCCACTAAAAAAGTCCTCACTGAAAGGAACATGAAGTAAAGCCATTAGTGTGGCATTCATTGCTCTTTGTTTTCTGGCTCCAACCTCTCCATTGTAAATCATACCGCACAATTCATCATTCTACATATAGGCTCAGTGATGCCCTATTTCCTCCATGCAGTCTGTAGAGATAGTTACGAGCATAGGTTCTGGAGTTCAAATGCCAGGATTCTATCCTATCTCTACCACTGTGGAAACGCCTCTGTTTCCTTATCTATAAAATTGTATAGTAATAGTACCTAACTTAAAAAAAAAAGTTGTCAAATTGACTCTGATTTATGATGACTCTATGTGTGTCAGAGTAGAACTGTGCTCCATAGAGTTTTCAGTGGCCGAGTTTTCAGAAGTAGATCACCTTACTTCTGAGGTGCCCCTGGGTGGGTTTGAACCACCAACCTTTTGGTCAGTAGTTGAGTGCTTAACCATTTGCACCACACAGGGGCTCTTACCTAACTTATAGGGCTATTATATTGAGTCAATACATGAAAAGCATGTAGAACAATGTAGCACATAGTGAACATTATGTATGTTTGCCATTATGACTGTTCTCTCTGTCAATCAATCTACACCTGCCAGAGTCCTCCTTACCCTTCAAGGCCCAACCCAAGTGCTCCTTCTCCATGCAGAGTTGCCAGATCCACTGAGTCAGCACTCATTCTCACTCCTCAGTGCTCATCTGCCAAATCAGGGTTTAGTAAACTATGGCCCTTGGGCAGAATCCGGCCTGCTGCCTGTTTTTGTGTCATCCACAGCTTAGAATGGTTTACATTTTTAAATGGTTATAAATAATATTTCCTGATACAGGAAAATTATATGAAATACGAATTTCAGTTTTCACAAATGAAGTTTTATTGGGACACAGCCACATTTATTAATTTATATAGTGTCTATTGTTGCTTTTCACTGTAATAGCTGAGTTGATTAGTTGTGACAGAGACTGTATGCCCCCCAAAGCTGAAAATATTTACTATTTTTACAAAAAAAATGTACTGAACCCTGGACTAAATCATAGGCTTTGGTGTTGTTGAGAATATACACAGCAAAACATACATCAGTTCAACAATTTTTACATGTACAATTCAGTGACATTGATTACGTTCTTCAAGTTGTGCAACCCTTCTCACCCTCCTGTTCCAAGTTGTTTCCCCCCATTAACATAAACTCACTACCCACTAAGTTTCCTGTCTAACCTTTAGAGTTACTGTTGTCAATTTGATCCCAGATAGATCATTCTTTAAAAGACCACAATGCTCAAGCATGATTCTTGATGAATTTAACTAACCCACTGTTTGGTTTAAAGAAGAATCCACTGAATATTTTGGTTTAGGGTTTAAAGATTATCTCAGGCCAGTAGTTTCAGGGTTCCATCCAGCCTCAATGGTTCCAGAAAATCTGGATTCTAAGACAATTTGAAATTCTGTTCCAAATTTCCCCCTTTTGATCAAGATTCTTCTGTAAGTTCTTTGATCAAAATGTTCGCCAATGATAGCTTTTAGAGGACAATAACTGTGTTGCTCTATCTTTAGATCATCCCAGAGCCTAGTAAAGAGCTTACCTTTCATAAACACTTAATAATTATTGTTAATTCATTGAAAGTTCAGAATTAGATCATGGTAAAATAGGAAAAAAATTTCTGACCTCGTTCTCCTTTCTCTCCATTCATTCCATCCTTCCCTGGGCTTCCAGGAAGTCCTGGTTCTCCTGGTTGAAAAAGAAGAAAAACAGATAAGACTTAAAATTTCAATTCTGACTTTACTAGACCTTGGTCTCAATGAATGATGGATGTTGGAGAGTACTGGGTGTGATCCCCAGTCCTATCATACACTACCCTCCCTTACAGAAGTATAGGTGGAAAAAGGCAGATGTGAGAAAACATCAAGGCAGTTGTTGTTGTTGTTTTTAGTTGCCATTGAGTCAGCTCCAACTCATGGTGACCTTACGTAGAACAAAATGAAACACTGCCCAGTCCTGTGTCATCTTTGTGGTCATTAATATGTTTGAGTCTATTGTCGCAGCTATTGTGTCAATGCATCTCATTGAGGGTTTCCCTTGTCTTCACTGACCCTCTACTTTACTAAACATGATGTCTTTTTCTAGCAATTGGCCTTTCCTGGTGACATTTCCAAAGTAAGTGAGCCAAAGTCTCACCATCACTTCTAAGGAGAATTCTGGCTTAAGGTGAGTAAAATAAGTGAATTATCAAAACAGTGGTGTGGACTTCACTGGTACCCTGCTCCAAGATGACACTGTGAGTGCCCAGAACAGCAGGATAAGGAAGGGTGTGTGTGCCGTGAAGCTCATGGTTGCATTTGCCTCATGTGCTGAGTACTAGCTACATGATCTGAATGCTGGAGGGACTGGGTGGCTTTCTCATTTCTTTTCCTTTTCCATCACTCTTGTGGAGAGGTGGAGTAGAAGATTAACTATCCTCCTACAAAAACATAGATGACTATGGTAGCATGACACTATTTGGGTGGGGAAGGAGGCTCCTGGAAGGATCTTTCTCGGTAAATATCACTGGCCAAGTTGGCACAGGAGATCCCACTTGGGGAGTATCATGTGAACGAGGTTTTGTCCACCACACAGGAGTCCTGGCCCTCGGAGCAGGCTACCTTGAGCTCCACTTCCCGTGTTATTAGTGAACAGGTTGTAAGTGGCTCCAGGCCTGGCAAAAGGCAGCTTGATGCTCACTAGGCCATGGTTCAACCCAGACTCTGGCTTCTCCCATAGCAGCAGAGACACCCGTATCCCAGCCCCACTGAGCCAGCTGTGGATGACAGGGCGGGCTCAGGCCAGCCTCCAGTTCCTGAGACAGGACAGACGGGGCAGATATATTAGTGGGGCTTGAGAAGTTAACTTCCCAGACTCAATCATGTCTGACTTTCTGACTTTGCCAGCAGGTCTGGGGCCAATGCTCTCATGTAAATCCTGGGTACCACTGGGAACCCCTGGAGCCTCTGATGGGGTCATCCCTACATTTACCTCCTCTTCCTTCCCTCTCAACTTCATTCATGGACCACATTAGAGGTGAAAGTTCTCCTCTCCTTACTTCTTTTTGGTTCCCTTGCCTAATTCCCAGTTTTTCCATTTTCTAGAGCAGTGGCCACCAAACTTCTTTGGTGACGCACCCCGACGTAACAAGGTGTGAACACAACCCCTGATAGTTGTGTATGTATGTATTTATAAATTAGGTACAGGTAATGTACTAAAGGAGCCCTGTTGGCGCAGTGGTTAAGAGCTTGGCTGCTAACCAAAAGGTCAGCAGTTCAAATTCACCAGCCACTCCTTGGAGACCTTATGGGGCAGTTCTACTCTGTCCTATAGGGTCGCTATGAGTTGGAATCAACTCGACGGCAATGGGTTTGGTTATTGGTTTTTTAATGTACTAAAATTTGTTTGTTATAAAACATACACACAAATTTTAACAGGGCAAGATAAAGATGAAGTTTTAGCTTAAGTAATGTGATGGAATATTCTTCTAAGAAATATATATATATATTATATTATATATGAACTATAAATAAAATATAAGTGCATCTATGAAACATGGAAAATTTGAAAGAATGGATTTTGGATATACTTGGAGAGGAAAGAGAGGTTCACTCAGGGAAAGGTAAGAGATTTTGGGGTTAGATATATCAGTATTTGTCTTATTCCTCTTTTATTTTCTGTCTATCTATCTATCTAAAAGTTCCTGGGTGGCGCAAAAGGTTTACTCTTGACTACTAACCTAAAAGTTGGCAATTGAAACCCATCCAGTGGGACCATGGGAGAAAGTCCTGGCAACTTGCTTCTGTAAAGATTACTGCCAAGAAAACCCTCCGGAGTATGGTTCCATTCTGTAACACATGGGGGCACCATAAGTTGTAACTGAGTAAACGGCAACAGGTTTGTTTGTTTGTTTTTTTAATCTATCATTCTATCTGTCTACTTTTGTGTGCATAAAATATTAATCATAAAACTTAAGAAAAATTAAAATCCTGTACATTTGGAAATAACACATGCACCCTCGCTCTGAGTCAGAGAGAGAAGGGCTGAGTGCCAGACCCGGAAACAACAATCACCTGGCCCCATCCACCACACTCCTCTGGCCAGAGGCGTGGTGAGCTGCAGAAATGTTGCCTTGGACCTGGAGCTAAGTGTGCCGAAAGCTTTTTAGGGAAAGCTAGAACGTTCCCCTGGGAGTGTGAGGTCATGGAGACTGAGGCCTGACTTTCAACTTTCCGGTTGCCGTGGAGTTGACTCTGACTCCGGGCGACCCCATGTGTGTCAGAGTAGAACTGTGCTCCATAAGGTTTTCAATTGCTGATTTTTTGGGAGTAAATCACCAGGACTTTCTTCTGAGGTGCCTCTGGGTGAACTCGAACCTCCAACCTTTTGGTTAGCAGCTGAGCATGTTAACTATTTGCACCATAGGACTGCCAACTTCCAATGAGAAAAAATCTGAAGAAGAGGCTGGCTACAGCTGTCCCAATGGCAGAGGCAAGAGCGGAGTGGCACTGTGAACACCTAGCGCTTTCTGAGTCTGCTAGAGCAACAGTACCGTTTTTCTGGGGGCTAGGGTGCCTTCGGAGTCCTGTTAGCGTAGTGGTTAAGAGCTTGGCTGCTAACCAAAAGGTCAGCATTTCAAATCCACCACCAGTTCCTTGGAAACCTTTTGGGGCGGTTCTACTCTGTCCTACAGGGTCGCTATGAGTCAGAACCAACTCGACAGCATCTAACAACAGGGTGCCTTCAGAGGGCCAGGCTTGAGACATATTGAAAAAACCCTACCCATGAGAACTACCTGCCAAGGCAAGGGGACCCCACCAAAAGGAGACTGCACTAGAAGCTAAGGGGCATTTGGACCCCATTAGGCAGTGAGTGCAGGAGGTCCACAAAGAACCCCAAAACACCTCTAAAAGAAAGGCCAGCATTGGATTGTCCTCCTCTGAAGGCACCCATGCCAGATTATAGTGGCACCAGGTAAGTAATGCTTCTTCTTTTTTTTATAATATTTTATTGTGTTTTTGGTGAAAGTTTACACAGTAAATTAAGTTCTCACTTGACAATTTCTATAAAAACTTGTTCAGTGACTTTGTTACATTTTTCACAATGTGTCAGCATTCTCTTTAATTGCATTCTGGTTGTTCCATTTCCAGTACTCTAGTTTCCCTGCCCCCTTATCTTCTCATCTTTGCTTTAGAGTAATTGTTGAGTAAGTAACACTTACTGCACCTCTTCTCTCCTGCCTAGCCCTCTCTGGAGTCAGAGGTGGTGCTGGCAGTGCGGAAGGACAGTGGAAAGTACAGGGTGGAGGAACTGTGAAGACAGATCTATCCTGAGAGGCACGTGAGCATGTGAACACATCCACATCCACCCCACCGCAGGTCCCCGGGTACAGGTAGAAGACTTGATTTCAGTAAGACTGAGGTTTTGCTGTAAACTTGTACTGGGCTTTTTGCTACCTGGAAATGAGACTGGTCTAATGCCAAAAAGTGACTGGAACCACATGGATTTGTGACAATTACTATCCAGTCAGAGAGATCTCACGGAGAAGATTTGCACCGAAGTCACTCGGGGTTGAAATGGTTAACACATTCGCTGTTAGTGTATGCTCCCACACCCAAGTTGGTCTCTCTACAGTCCCCACCACCATCCATCTGTCCGTTTGTTGTACTGTTGTGGTTTGTGTTGCTATGATGTTGGAAGCTATGTCACCAGTATTTCAATATCAGCAGGGTCACCCATGGTAGACAGGTTTTAGCAGAGCTTCCAGCCTAAGACAGACTAGGAAAAAAGGCCTGGTGATCTACTTCCAAAAATTAGCCTATGAAAGCCCTATGGATCACAGCCAAATATTGTCCAACTCACTTGCTTTGGACGTGTCATCAGGAGGGATCAATTGATGGAGGAGGACATCATGTTTGGTGAAGTACAGGGCCAGTGAGGGTGAGGGAGACCATCAGTGAGACGGATTGGCACAGTAACCACCACAATAGTCTCAAATATGCCAGCAATTGTGAGGACGGCACAGGAGTGAGCAACCTTTTTACGGTTGTACATAAGGTCACCATGAGTTGGAGTCAACTCAACAGCAGCTATAGGCCCCAGGTTGGCAAAGATCCATCATACCTGTCACCTGAGGCAGGAAGATTTACAGCATCATATGCTCCTGAAAATGGCCCCGTAGTATCAGAGGTGATGGTTAACAAACAGGTATTCCCACTAGATTAGAAAGTCCATAAGGCGGGTTCATGTTGGTCTTGTCCTGCATCATTGCCAACACCCAACACAGAATCTGGGATGGAGTAGGCTCTCAATAAACGTTTGCTGGATGGATGAATGAGTGAGGAATGAGTGATGAATAAACGGGTGGATGAATGGATCAATAAGATAAAATGAATGCAAGAGGTAAGTGGAAGGGCAGCGGAAGGCCACCAGGTGGGGAGTACCTGCATCCCCTTTGTCCCCCTTTGCTCCATCTCGTCCATCTCTTCCTGGCAAACCGTTGTGCCCAGGACTCCCAGGGATGCCAGAATGCCCTTGCCTGCACATGTCCTGTGAGTTTATGTTTTCTGTGCAGGCTCCAATGGCAAGTAGGACCCACCAGAATCTCATGGCTCAGATGACAGAGTCTGAACTGAAAGAGGGAAACACAAACAGAAATGATAAGCTTCTGTCCCTGGGGCCGCACACACACCTCTGCTCCTTGCCATGGCAACAGCTGAGCTGTACACTGTCACAGAGCAACACCTGATGGCACTTGGACAGAATGGTCAGGGCAGGTAAGGATGACAACCTACAGCACACCAAACTTGCTACAATCAGAAGGAATTTGTCCTCAGAAGATAACACATGTGGTCAGGACCATTCGTAAAATAGTGAGCAATCAACGAAAGCCAATTCTGAAGTCAAGGAACTGTCAAAAAAAAAAAAAATCTGATCAATAAGCCAGTTAGAGTTAAAAGGTTTTATTAGTCAGAAAAAACTGTTTGAGAGCAGGAAGCATCCATCCAGAGAGAAGAGCTCATTGCATTACAATTCTGATCAGCTTATACACAGTACAGACTGTTAGGGGAGTTCCCAAAAGTGAAATGTAAAATGATTGTGTCATTCACTTAACTGGCAGAAGGTGGCTTGGATTGGTTTATTAAGTTTTTGTGGCTGCATTCTATAGGCTAGCTATGGCTTATCTAATTATTTAAACTTTTCCCAGAACTATCTTTATCACGAGTTTTAGTTTCTGGGAAGTGTTAAGAGGTAAATTTAAACGGAGGGAAGGGGCATTTTCTTTAACAATTGTCCCCTTCTGGTCATCTTCCTAGTATGTGACCACTCTTAAATACCAGCACTTATAAAATAGAATTAAAAGATAGCTCTACAGACTTGAATATACAGGTAGTCCTCGACCTACGACATAGTTGAGTTAGGAGGAATTGTACTTACGACCGTCTTTTTGTGTGTGTGTATCTTATCATTAGTAACATGTACTACATGTACTACATACAATGTTGCAGTGCATACTTTGCTGATGTTATCATTCTCAGATGTTCACTCACAGTTGTTCAAAGATCATATTTATAAAGATATGATAATAAAAGTCATAATAATGAAAACCAAAAAAAAAAAAATAGGTATTCAATTTACATCAGAACCAATTTATGATGGAGTCATCAGAATGGAACCCTGTCATAAGTCGGGAACTACCTGTATTACAGGTTGCTTTTTGAAATTCCTAAACTAAGGAAGATTGCCCTAATAAACAAATGAAAACCAGAAGCTAGACCAATTAGAGGATTGGAATCCCTTTTAAGTCAGTGAACAAAAGATCCTAGATTTAAACTTGGCTAGCATTAAGGGTTCTAAAGGATTGAAGATGTGGAACTAGATATCCTAATCCACAAAGTTCTTGCCAATCAGGTGGCAAAGTCTGAACAGAGATTAATGGAACAAAAGAATCGTTTTGGTACCCTGGGAATGTATAATATGATTGTTTACCCTTTCTAAAAATAATGATACTAAGTATAGTCCAGATTTCAGTCTCAGTCATGGATTTATCCACAGTCTTGGGCAGAAGTTGTCTACCTCGTGACGTCAGCTACTTCTGGGGTTCAGTGGTCTCGGGTGAGTCTGAGTTTGAGAGATATATACCCAGAGATCTATTCGAGTTTGGCTGCTGTGTGGGTGGTGAGCAGCACCCGAAAGCGTCCTTTCCAGAAGGGTTCAGATGCTGATTTCTTTTAATCTTCTCAGAACACCAAATCTCCCAGTTCCAGGTTGTGAGGAATGTGTCCTTCTTCAGGAATTAGTTCTTGGAAGGCAGTATGTACCTGTTTGAGATAAGATTGGGAATAATCCATTAGAGATTTAGGGATTATGAGAGTTTGACTAATTTCAGCCTTAGGGTTCCATGTATTCTTTCTACTTTTCCAGATGACTGTGGATGTTAGGACAATGCAGACCTTGGAAAATTAACATACCATGACAAATTTCCTTGATAAGTGATTTTGTAAAATGTGTGTCCCAATCACTAGACAATTCTAAAAGGCACTTCTCAAAGAGGCAAAACTTGCTCTAACAACTTTTTAGCTACCGTAGTAGCATCTGCTTTTCAATTTTAGAGGTTTTTCAACTTCTATTTAGCACTGTATTTAAATGGGCAATAGTCTATTTTCTGGTTTTTACATTGTTGGCCTCTCTTAAATTTCTTTGGGTCATTGATTAAAAGCATAAACTTTTAATCTAACAAAAACTAGTTCAATTTACAGGTACAAAACAAAACCATTAGTTGTCAGTAGTTTACAAAGAGACGTAAAATAGTTCAAATACAATGAACAGGACCAGAATCTGATAGTCCACAACGGTTTGTCATAATTTTCTATTGACACATAAAATTTCTCTCTACACTCATCTCCCTTTGATAAAAGACAATCCCAAAGCAAAGTTATTGATCTTACAGTAAGGCTGGTGCAGCAATAATGGTAATTTATCATACAGGCTTTTAAGTTTGTTTTGTTGGAAGATTTCATAAAGAACTTCGAATTAAATTTATAAAAGCCTCTTAAGGTTAGGAAGCTAAAAAAAAAAAAAGAACTTGCCACCGGATTTCACTGTAGTACCCACAGATTTGGGTGAGTTCCTCTTTTTTCAAGGTCCCAAAATATCATAAGTTTCTTGGGCCTTCCAGGAAGTGACCTTCCTTACTTACCTGTAAGGCTGGAAACCCTATAAGCCAGGTACCAGGCCCATTTTCCAAAAAGTCAATCTTAGTTCCTTAAACATGTCTGGTCATACCTGATTTGCTGAGCATCACTCTCAAATATGACTTTCCAGTCAAAGTTTGGTTATATAACCAAGATTTCCAATTGTGTTCTGTTAACAAGGAGCACAGATTCCCGTTGAACTTATGCAAATAATTACATTGCCACAAAATAAGGATATTCAGTAAGAGTTTTCCAATTCCCGAGGGATCAGGCAGGAAGAAAAGATAAATTTTTCACATTTGTTTACAAAAGCACAGTCTATTAAATTTTATGAGTTACACAGAGTGTAGAAGAAAAAGAAAGATTCCTTATACCTGGAAAAGAGAATATGAAACATCAGCAATACTAAAGAAAAATTCAATCATATGTAATTAATTCATATTTCACTGGATCTTAGGCTTACAGTCTTGTGAACCCATCAGCTTCTCCACAAAAATTCTGGAAATCCTGATTCAATCCAGTAGTATTTAAGCAGTGTCATTAAAAGTTCACACCAAAAATTCCTGGCATAGTCCTTTCCACGGGTCTCTGAGACAGTCTCTTTTGTTGAAATACTCTGGCCTGTGGTTGGTTGCAAGTGCTTTCAGGGAGTCAGAGTAAAAAATAAAAAACTATCTATGATGACAAAACTTAAAAATGACCATGGTTAATTTATTACTAATAATATTTAAAAGTGAACTAATCTTTAGGTGGAAAAGAAATTTCAGATATAACATACAATAATCCTAAGACATAATATAATATGAATATACCAGGCATAGAGTTAGGATACGTTGCTGTTGTTGTTTGGTGCCATCAAGTTGGATCCAACTCATAGGGACCCCATGTACAACAGAATGAAACACTGCCTGGTCCTGCACCATCCTCACAATCACCTCCATATTTCAGCCTATTGTTGAAGACACTGTGTCAATCCAGCCCATTGAAGGCCTTCCTCTTTTTTGCTAACCCTCTATTTTACCAAGCATGATGTCTTTTTCCAGGGACTGGTCCTTTGTGATAACGTGTCCAAAGTGTGTGAGATGAAGTCTTGCCATCCTCGCTTCTAAGGAGCTTTCTGGCTATACTTCTTCCAAGACAGATTTGTTCGTTCTTCTGGCAGTCCATGGTATATTCAGTATTCTTTGCCAGCACCATAATTCAAAGGCATCAATTCTTCTTCAGTCTTCCTTTTTCATTGTCTGGCTTTCACATGCATATGAGGCAGTTGAATACCATGGCTTGGGTCAAACTCACCTTAGTCATCAAAGTGACATCTTTGCTTTTTAAGATTTTAAAGGGGTCTTTTGCAGCAGATTTGCCCAATGCAATACATCATTTGATTTCCTGACTACTGCTTTCATGGGCATTGATTGTTGATCCAAGTAAAATGAAATCCTTGACAACTTTTCATGATGTTGCTTATTGGTACAGTTGTGAGGATTTTTGTTTTCATTATCAACATAATCCATACTGAAGGCTGTAGTCTTTGATCTTTATCAGTAAGTGCTTCAAGCGTCTTCATTTCTGCAAGCAAGGTTGTGTCATCTGCATATTGCAAGTTGTTAATGAGTCCTCCTCCAATCCTGATGCTGCATTCTTCTTCATATAGTCTGTTTTCTCAGATTATTTGCTCAGCATACACATTGAATAAGTATGATGAAAGGATACAACCCTGATGCACACCTTTTCCAATTTTAAATCTTGCGTTTTAAATCCTCTTGTTCTGTTCAGATGACTGCCTCCCGATTTACATACAGGTTCCACATGAGCACAACAAAGTGTTCTGAGATTCCCATTCTTTGCAATGTTATCCACAATTTGTTATTATCCATACAATCAAATGCCTTTGCATAGTCAATAAAACATAGGTAAACATCTTTCTGGTATTCTCTGCTTTTAGCCAAGATCCATCTGACATCTGCTACACGATAGGCCCAGAAAATTTTAGGTGGGGTTTCTCATTGTGATCTTTGTCTTTGGGCTTTTTAAAATTCCTCCACAATAAAGGGGACTTGTTTATGGCTCTTTAATGTTGGAGGGAAGCCCTGGTGGCATACTGGTTAAGGGCTTGGCTGCTTTATTGACCCACCCAGCCTCTGATAATACTGTATTAAGATAGTATTTGTTTGATTTTAACCCCATCAATGGTCCACCCTCTTTATCCTATTTTTCAACAGCCTTCTGAAGATTTCCATTCTGCTGGCAGGGGCCCCTCCACTCTTTCTTTTGTCCTTCTTGGCTATTCTTTCGGCAAAACGTTTAGCCTTCTGTGGTTTTACAGCCTTTCACTAAGAGCAACCCAGTAATCAAAGAAAACTTTGTCATTTTAATAGAGAAAAAACCAAATTCCCAGTCTTCATACTATTTGATACT